AGTTAATTAGTGTTAGTAGCTTTATATAATTCGTTCACTGTGTCAATGATGCTTTTTTCAATAGATATTTTGTTTAGGACTCGTGAATTTAATTCTCGTAACTGTGATAGTTTCTTCCATTACCTCCTTCATATGATTACATATCTTAAAGCAATGCTTGTTTTTTGAGCATTTTGGATTATTAGGGAATGATTTCATTTCACTCTCACTTTCCATATTGGTCAATAGATTCACAAAAAAGTAAGATCTTCAACCTGGAATATGTGTTGGTTGGTTAGTGGAAATATTCATACTTAATATATATCCTTGCCATTATGAAAGCCATCGTTTTTCAGAATGGATTTTTTAATTTGATTGAGGAAAATCCATACTCATTTTAGCTTCATGTGATGATTTTCTATGTGCACAAGTTACTGTCAGCTATGGAAGAACAACTTTGTGCTGGTGACCTGGACTCATGTTTAATGGATATCGTTGATGTAAGCATTTCGTTCTAAACTTTCTTGAAAAAGAACAGTATGGTCGTTAATGCCTAGAAAAGTACTATTGGTTGTTGTTTTGATAGAATTGCTTTAAAACAGTGAAACTTGTATGGGAGCTTTTATGAGTTTTTAAATTGGATTTGAATTTTGGCTAAGATTAGAAGTTGAAATTATTAAATGACTTTAGGTGTGTACTATGGACTTATTTGGTAATGCAGCTGAAGAGAAAAATGTGTCTGGCATTACCAAAGATGTACCAGAAGCCCGCATTAATTCTTTCGATTTCAAATCCACTCATTATATTTGCTCTGAATTCGATCACAATTACAAGCGGCTACTAACAGCTTATCTTCGATTCTTCTTGCTATTATGTGACTTCTTTGTAACAACAGTTTAGTTGCCGCCATCCATCCATTCCATTAATAATAATAAGTTATTTCTATTTCCACAATTTTATTGCTGCACTTCAACCAATTGTTGCTTAAATTGGGAGTTTAGAACATGGAAAATGTATTGAAATTTAGTATTTTCCGGATCGAGTTCATTTTATTGAACTTCCTCCTTATCGTTTAATTTTCTCATAATAACTGACCTTTTGAAATTGAATTTACTGAATTTTAGTTTCACCAAATATTGTCGGTTCCTTTATCGATAATAATATAAAATCACCATCCATTAAATAAGCTTTCGTGAAATTACAATTCGGTTTCATAACTGTTTCATCTTTTTTAAATGAATGAAGTTTGTAATTTATTTACAATGACATGATTACATTCCACACATATCTTCACTGATCAGCAGCAGGGACATACTGTTCAGGCAGCATTCATTATTAGGGACAATTTCAGACGTACCGAATCTTAGTCAGCTCTTACACAGATAACTAGCTCGACAGTTCTTACAGTAGATAATTAG